TGAGTTCCCGAGCTCCCTCTTGTGTCCACGACCCACCACTTGGGTTCGGATCATCCTGCTTCCCCTTTTAGCTCGCGTCGACCCCTCCATTGCCGCGCCAACGCCCTGGTTGTAAGAATCGTCACCGACTTCTCTTCCTTCTCGTTCCCTGCCTCTCGCTTGAAAAAAAAAAAAATAAAGGCGCTTCCTCTTCAAACTCAATGAACCGCTATCGCCCTAATTTACCCTAACTAAACGCTGCTTTAATTCGCTATTAAATCGACAGTTACCTTCCGATTTCCCCTTTTTTTTTCTTTTTTTTTTCCGCTGCCTCTCTGCACCCGCTGGTTGCTCTGCTTCTGGCCTAAAGCCCACTTCTTCTTTCCATCTCAGCAACCAGACCATACACCTGTTTCCCCCTTTTAATTTATACACGGGCTTGAGCCCTTCTTCCTCTTCTTTTCACTGGGCCGGCAGGCCAGCCCACACTTTCTCCCCTTCTCTCGGCTCGGGCTAAGCCCACCACAAGTGAGTTTCGGCTCACTTCTCCCTTCCTTCACTTCCTTTTCCCTTCTCCCTGGGCCGCCCGTGACATCAAAACAGGATGACTGAATTGCAAATCCATGCCAGCCCAAATAACAAAACAGATTAGCCCAACACTAAATTGCGTCCTGATCCAAAAATCCAATTTATATTCGTACCCTCTTCATTTTATATAGAATTTTAATACCGTTCGCACCGGTAGTTCCTGTTTTTAAATCCTCATCCATAATATGGCAGAACCTGATAAATTTGCTCAAGAGTAAAATAGTCATTTTGACTTTTGGGAAGAGCGGGGTGTAACATATGCTATTGTGGACGATGCAGAGACGGTGAACAGCTCGACGGACTGGAAAACTCTCTGGCGTTGGCGCGGCCCCGCTCGAGTGAGGCACTTTCTTTGGATGGCGGCTCGTGCCCGCCTTTTCACCAATGTTGAGTGCGAGCGAAGGCATCTCTCTCCTTCGGTCCTGTGTACTTATTGTAGGGCCGGACCCGAAACAATCCTGCATGTGTTGCGGGACTGTCCTTTCCCGAGGTTAACTTGGTTGCAGGTTATCCAGCCTTCTGAGCACCAGACGTTTTTCGGACATAATCTCCAAGAGTGGCTATTGAAATATTGCTTACTTTATTCCGTCTGAGGTGGATATAATATCCACCTTCTTCGAAACTTTTACTTTGGATCCAATTTGGTATACTTCTTCATTTAGCTAGCTATTTTATAATGTTCAGGAATGTAATATACAATTATTTACCAGTGCTATAGGATATTAGTTCCACTCGTTTTAGGTGCAAATTGATGCATTTCTTTTTTCCTTTACTGTTTCCTTTTCTCGGTTACAAATTTTTTGCTAGCAGTTTTCACTCATGTGAAATAAAAAGGGTAGAGAGACTTTTCGATGAAGAAAATTTGGCTTTGATTCAACATATTATATTCAATGCGAGTAAAAGAAGATCCCAAAAAATGGATAATTTCCTTTTCTTAGTAAATTTTGGTGAATCAACAATAAAAAATATAAAGAAAAACCAAGATAAAAGTGATATAAGAAAGCAATGCTTGATTTCTTCCTACAACGATGTTTACGTTTTTAATTACCATGAGAGGATTCTTTAAATAAAAAATAATTAATAATATGTAATCTATAGTCACTACAAAAAAGGCAGCCAGTTGTGACGAAAACTTACTGACGACTCAAAAAATGCGTAAAAAAATCAATAATTCCGACGAAAAACAATTTCCGTCTGTAATAATGAAATTATTACTGACTGATGTGGATTTTTGTCAAAAATCATATTTTTTTCGTCAGTAAAATGTTTTTTGCCCCGATTTCCATTTTTCACGCGAATTATTTTTGACGACTTCATATTACGCGTTAGAAATAATCATTATTCTAACCAACAAAAAAATGTCGTCAGAAAATATAATTATTAGGACTTTGCTACGGTGACATGCATGTCACGGTGACATGCACTTTTCGGTCGACCTCATATAGGATCAGGTCGACCCAATCAGTTGTTTCAGTGTAAAAACAGTTTCATGGTGCCTACTTTGGAGATTCATATCTTACAATTGGCTAGATGGAAATTGGAGATTAAAGGCTTGTTTTGAAGCTGAAGTGTCCATCTACACATTAAATTACTTGGGAGCTCAATAGAAAGTTCAGAAGACCTTTTTTGAATCTGACCAAAAGGCTATGCCAAAATTGGGAAACTGCCTGAAAATGGCTAAGTCTGGCAACGTGTTTGTCAAGCCTACTTTGGAGCTCAATTTGAGAATCATGGATGTGAGTCAAGTCCAGGGGCCTCTACCACGTTAAATTACGTATTTTTTTATACAAAGGCAAGGCATTGGACGAAAGATTCAATATCTTTAAGGCTTCAAACAAAAGGCTCGAAGTTGCTACGAAAGCTGTTTTTCTGGCAGCTTGCTTGTGCTCAAAGTCTGCCAGAAAAACAGCCTTCGTAGCAACTTCGACCCTTTTGTTTGAAGCCTTAAAGATATCCAATCTTTCATCCAATTCCTTGAATTTGTATAAAAACATACCTAATTTAACGTGGTAGAGGCTCCTGGACTCGACTCGCATTCATGCTTCTCGAATTGAGCTCAAAAATAGACTTCACAAACACGTTTCCAGACTTAGCCATTTCTAGGCAGTTTCCCAGTTTTGGCATAGCCTTTTGATGAGGTTCAAAAATGGTCTTCTGGACTTCCTATCGAGCTATCAATCACTTCAATATGTAGAGGGACACTCCAGCTTCAAAACAAGTCATTATCTTCAATTTCCATCTAGCCAATTGTATGATATGAATATCCAAAGTAAGCACCGTGAACTGTTTTTACACTGAAACAACATATTAGGTCGACCGGATCCTATATGAGGTCGACCGAATCCTAAATGAGGTCGACCGGATCCTATATGAGGTCGACCGAATTCTAAATGAGGTCGACCTAATCCTAGCTGAGGTCGACCGGAAAGTGCAAGTCACCGTGACATGCATGTCACCGTAGGCACACCCTAATTATTATTGACGTCAAAATATCGATCATCGAAATTTTAATTTTTAATTTTGACGAAATGAATTTTTCTTCATAAGTAATTGGTCAGAAAACTTTATTTTTGACAACACCAAAAGTTCGTCAATACTAATTGGTCAGAAAAACCCTAATTGTTACGCCATACACACTTCGTCGGTACTATTTGGTCAGGAAAAATTCTTTTTTGACAATAGTAAAATTTCGTCAATACTATTTGGTCAGGAAAACAACTTTTCTGATATCATAAAAATTACGTCAATACTTTTGGTCAGTAAAACACATTTTCTGATATCATAAAAGTTCGTCAATACTAATTGGGGAAAAAAATTCTTTTTTGACAACAGTAAACTTTCGTCAATACTATTTGGTCAGGAAAACAACTTTTCTGATATCATAAAAATTACGTCAATACTTTTTGGTTAGTAAAACACATTTTTTATGCCATAAACATTTCTTCAGTACTATTTTGTCAGGAAAAATTTCGTGACCACAGTTTGGTCAGGAAAAATAACATTTTTTAAGTTATAATATGTCGCCAGCAGTAAATGGTAAGCACAAATACTTTTGTACGCCATACACAATTCTTTTGAACCATTTGGTTACAAAATTGAAACCTTTCTTACAAAATAAATTACCGTATACATTTTTTCATAAATGAAAATCGGACAAGAATGACATGTTTTAGAAATGATTATTGAATCATTAAAAAATGCATAATAAGCATTGTTCTATGAAAAATATAATATAAATTATATAATATATATTTTCATCTACAAAGACCAAATTAGTCATACTTAATCTTCGAACCCTGCTCTAGTCCAGTTTAAGAGATCATCTCCCTCGGTTTGGAGTACCCTAGGATCATCAATTAAAATATTGTCTTCTTGATAGGCTTCGTCTAATGCTCCTTCTCCTTCTCCTTCCGTATTAGATGGCATCGCGAACAAATTTCTTGGTCGCGTTTCAACTACAATTTTCCAATTTGGATCTCTTAAAGATTGCACATAATAAACTTGAATTGCTTGACTAGCCAGAACAAATGGCTCATCTGTTCTAAGCCTTCGCGTTGTGTTGATGGTAATAGTGTCGGGAACATCTTTCTTGTAACCAACGCCTTCGCGAGCAGTGCCATACCACTCACACTGAAACAATACAACACGAAGCCCTTCTGTATAACGAAGCTCGATGATATCGGTGAGAACGCCATAGTAATGAATTCCACACTAAACCGTTTGATTCTCCAATTTGTTTCAATTACTTAGTTAAATTTTTTAACAAGACTATAAACCCTAAACCCTACACTAAACCGTAAACCCTGAACCCTAAACGCTAAACCCTTACCCCGAACTTTAGCTAATACCCTAAACCCTATAAAACCCTAAACCCTTACCCTGAACTTTAGCCAATACCGTAAACCCTGTAAAAAAACTTTACCCTAAACCCTTATTCTGAACTTTAGCCAATACCCTAAACCCTATAAAAAAGTTACCCTAGACCCTTACCCTGAACTTTAGCCAATAACCTAATTTAACGATTATCGTTTAACCATTAACCATAGTTATCAATTCAGTTCTCGATTAAAATTGATAACCAACACGGCGATATTTAAATACCCCTATACAATTACGGATATATAACTTTGTCAATTAAACCATCCAAATCTTATACTCCAAGTGAAATGTATATATAATTAACTAATTGGTAGCGTGAACTAAACTTGTGAAAACTTTACCCTAAACAACATCCAAAAACACAACCAACGAATTATGTAACTAGAAACTTAAAAAAAAAGTAAAAGGATTTCTTCTTTTTTTTAAAGGAAAAGAAAAAGGGTTTCAATACCCTTCATCATTGATTCTCACCGACGGGAAAATCGGCCTTCCCCAATTGTTGATTTAACTAAAAAAAATATATATAAAAAAGAAGAAGAATTAATACCCTTCTCCGCCGCTTCGTTTCTCAAGATCTCAGTGGCGGGATTCCCCAAAAACAATCCATCACTGGCGGATAAAATCGAGAACCCCCTTTTGTAACTCAACGCTGCAACCCCTTCATCTACCCTAAATCAATTCCAAACACCCAACCCCCTTCTGATTCACAGTCGCCCTCCCAAACCACAGCAAACATCATGGGGAGACCAAAGAAACGTAAGACTTGCCCTGCTGATGCAACCCCTGCTCCTTAGTGACGACAAGAAGGGAGCTCTGGAACACCTACTCCCCAGCAACAGCAAGAAGCAAAACGGAGCTCTCCAATCCCTGCGCCTCGGCGACAACAGGAAGAAGAACAGAGCTCTACAACCCCTGCTTCCCAACGACGGCAATAAGAAGAACGAAGCTCTATAACCCCTGCACCCCGGCGACAACAAGAAGAAACCGACCAAAATACCTCTCCGCCCCTGTCTACATCCATTGTCCATGGCTGAAAACCCTCAAGGTAATCCACTTAATTATGTTTATATTATGTTGATTATAAACCCTAAGTAGTCTTGCTGATCCGTTCCTACTCTATTAGTTGGGAAGCGAAAAGGCAGAGGACCGGGTAAAGGAGTCAAGCCAGGCCATAACACCCATTTGGAAGTCCATGATAATAGGTATTTTGTCTATTTCCTCTTAACTCTATTTCTTTTTCATAACTCTGGTTTGATGTTTTTTTACCAGCTACAATGGCATCATTCTATGGTTTGTCTGCAGTATTTTGTTTTCCAAAACTCTGTTTTCATTTTATCCAGAACTCTATTTTCTGTTGTCGCCTATGACTTCTCTATTTCCCCGTGTTTGGACAACAAATATCATTGATCAAAAAGCTATTTATTTGTTGATGTGTCGGTTTAGGTTGTTTGGAGATAAGAGTGAGCGTCGTTGTATTCTTTCTAGTTGTGTTTGTTAATAATCTTATGTTTTACTTTGCTTTTTTTAAGGTTGTTTGTTTATAACTTTGTTTGTGTGTTTATAATGACGTCTTTGTTTATAAGGTTGTTGGACACTTCAAGAATAATCTTCTCATTTTTTCATTCTTTTATACAATGTAGGATAATCACAGCTAAAGCTACACACGAGATATATGCTATATTCAAAAGGAGCATAAATGGACCTTGGGTACAATTTTCACAGTATCCAGATTCAGAGCTGCAAAGTTTAATAGCTCGATTCAAAGATGTTGGATTTACATACTCTGTTTTAGAGGAGCATCTAAACAATATCATCAAAGATCACGTCAAGAGATTGTTTCCTAGTTGGATGTATGAGATTCGAGACCCCATCTTCAAGAAGTATGCATCTATCAATGATAGGGTGTCACATCCACCTCCAGAAGGACCTCCTACCATTTAGCAACAAATGTCGTCGTCGTTAATAGATGTAATTGCACTATTGACAATAATTAAGCGACATTAGTAAATATAGTTTCTCCAACGACGTGTTGGAAAAGTTAATATTCGGTGATAATTAGTTGTCCTCAGTAAATATATTTTTTCCAACGACACGTTAGAAAAGAATTTTTTTATGATGAATAGTTGTCATCGTAAATAAAAATTTATCAAACGACACGTCGGAAAAGATTTTATTTACGATGAATAGTTGTCCTCGGAAATAATAATTTTTCCGACGACACACTGGAAAAAACATAGTTTTAATGACAATTTGTCGGCATCAGTAAAATTTATATTATTGACTATACGTCGGTAATAATATATTATTGACGCATACACATCCTCAGAAATGTATGTACAACGTATAAAAAAAAAGTTCGGTCTCACATTCTAGTCGCAAATAGTTATATTCGACGAATTATGGACGTTAGTATAACTATTATTTATGAAGACTAGTCAGAAATAATGGTTTACCTACAAACATAATGCGTAAAAAATAAATGAAGGTGTCGTAAAAAAAATCGTCAAATTCATCTGTCATGAGTGATTTCTTTTGTGACGCCATTTATTTTATTACTAACGTATTTATGTCGTCAATAAATTGTAATTTTGACGACTTGTCACTAATGTTTTATTAGCGACGGGACAATTTCTGACGACCAAATGTCGTCGTAAAAAATATTTTCCGATGAGAGACACTTATTAAATACAATAAAGTCCACAGGACATACGTTTTGTTGCATAGTGAAAATTGATTATGCATGTACCATGAAAAACGATTCTTATGTTATCTTTCGTCGACTTATTATATCGATCAGACTTTGTTTGGAAAGATACATGTTGGTTTAGTTGAATTTAAGTTTGTAAATATATTAGAGATATGAACGTTGTTCGATATTTTTTAAACTTCAACAGTCATATACATCAAATACTTTTTCTGCATTAATGATTAGCAACTTGCTAACCAAATACCTACTCCAAGCCTCAACAACATTAACAAATACTTTTTCTGCATTAATGATTAGCAACTTGCTAACCAAATACCTACTCCAAGCCTCAACAACATTAACGAAAAAAACAAGCAATATTAGCTACACTAATACATGAGTATCAAACTATCCGACCAATGGGCCGGACCCTAATCTAGTCTAAAAGAGTGACAGAGTGAGGTCTCATTAGAAATTCAGAATAGCGCCCCACTCAAATGGAGCCCTAACAATAATGGATTTTACAACTGAATTGGAATTAAACCAAGGTGATGGTGGTTGGAACAGATGACCAGCCTTTACTACCTGCCACGCTGCGTTGACCTTCGACTTCTAACAATCTGGTTCAAAACGTGTGTTAGGTCATCCGTTCTTCTTTTGCAAGCAGTGTGCAGTCTTAGCACCGAATAATCTAGACCAGCAAACCTTTCTTTTCTCCAAGTGAAACGAATAACAGATGATCCACAGACCACAGCGTCATGAATCGGAAGAAGAAGAAACTCTACTGTTACAACAGAGCACAAAAGAAAAAGAGAGAAAGAATCAAGGTTTTTTCAGGTCTCCCTCCCAAGTAGCTCAATCAAAATTCCCATCTGATTATCTTCCTCTCTCCCTCGCTCTCCCTCTCTCCATCCCCAGTTCGTGCACAAATTGGTGGAAATTACATAACATATTCATTTTACAGCCACAAGAAAAAGAAATCACTAACAAAGAGCAAAACACAAAACACAAGTAACAAGAAGTTATCTGCAGGTGATAATTCTTTTATATATAATAGCTGGGTACGCTTTATTGGCCCAAGATGTCTATTACTGTATCATTTTTTGGCGTTTAGTGACAACCTTCACTGAGTTGCTCCAGCAGCGCCGTGTTGTCGGGCCCGATCCCAAACGAGCTGCTCCATTTCCCTTTTCAATTTTCATCCATAGACCATCACCTCTCCTACCATCTCATCAATTAAAGACGACCATTCTTTTCGTTACACCCTTTCAATCATCTCCCATCCCATCCCATCCCCTCACCACTCTACTTTACTTCTTAGTATAGCGACCTTTGCAAACCTACCCAAACACTTCACCACCCATACTTTTTCTAGATCGGCCAAAAAGAAGAGGGAGGAAGAGGAGAACAAAAAAAACCTCTGAGCTCTCATCCTGTCTCTCAAAGGGGGAGGAGAAAAAGAAGAAACTGAAGAAGAAGATTCATCTTCTTCTGCATACCCATCTCCAGACTTTTCATCTAGCTACTTCTTCCTTGCTAAGTTTCCCTTGTTATTTTTTATTTTCCCTAACCTCTTTCCTACCGAACAAAAACTCAAAAAGACGACAACGGCCCCATCAACGCCAAAGTTTGTGGAGCAGCGGCGCTCGCTGCAGGAAATCGAGGATGACATCCGCCACGCTAGATGGATTCAATTTCGTTGTCAACATGGTCGACACTTACGACCTGAATGTCGCGCCCTCGCCTGACTGAATGCAGGAGCAATTTCAGGTCTGTGGGGACGCCGTCGCCCTCAATTTTGTGGATACTTGGTCGGAGATCCAAATACTCCAAACCCAAAGACTCGAAGACCGCTCAACACCCTTTTTCCGTCGAGTCGCAAAGGTCTCCGCACAACCCCATCCTGTCGATCAGACGGCTAAAGTCAAACTCAACTAAGATGGCCTCTCTCACGTCATCGACAAAGCTCCGTTGGAGTTCAAGTGCAGCAACACGGAGGCGCCAAAGACAAGTCGTTGAAGTTACGGGAGCTGCCATTCTCGCCGTTTGGGCCAGCCACGATACCTTGGTCGTCGACCGGAAGAGCGTTGTTGCGTCAAGTATAAGAAGCTGCAGGAATTGGATTCATTTCACCCGCCGTCCACTGGTAAAAAAGTGATAAAGTCGGTTCAAGTACCCGACCCATTTCAGCCCGGGGCGACCCAGGTATGTGAATACACGGGAGGATATATTGGGGTTGGACAATTGCTGTTACGGCTGATTGATTCATTGTGGGCAGTGATTCTCCTTGCTGCATTTCTTTGGAGCAAAGGCTCCCTTGCTTCCGAAGAGAGAGGGGCTGCACGAGAGCAAGGTAAAGTGTTTACGAGATTACGTTTGTCTGTTTGTGGTCTATTGGGTGAGAATTGGCTTAGTGAGATGAGTTTATGGCTATGCATGCACTTGGTATTTTAAGGATGTCTTTCAATCTTAGCACCTGGTTGTGGTAATGTAGGCTTTATCATCGTTCTGGTATGTTTCTTTCCAGGTGATTGGAGCTCTTGCACATGCTGGACTTGAATCATGACATCTCATTGTTGGAATTGACTTTAGGATGGGTATATGTTTCTGTTGTCTGCTTGATATGTAAATTATGATGCATTGTTGAACGTGCTGCTTAATATGGTTTGGTCACTAGGTGCAAAGTCTTACAACAGAAGAAGTTTGCATCACATTGGAGATACCTTGAATCCCTGGTAGCAAGCAATCGATTATTGGGAAGAATTTGGTTGTCTTTAATGAGGATAACTTGATACTGTGCTACACATTTGGAGACGGTAGGGTCTCAACTCTAAGAATTGTTTTCAATAATTGAATTACAAACAATTAGGATGTCCTTCAGTTTCTATTCGGATGAGAGCTATCGATAATTTGTTTTGAGCCTAAGACTTGCCGGTCTGGTTTACATGTTCCCCAAGTAATTTTTTTCCATAGAAATACCACACAAAATTATTTTTTGAAGCTTACGCGGTTGTTTTTTTTTTTTGGGTAGATCCAGTGTCGTTTGCACCCGTCATTGAGAAGGCAATGACGATTGTTGAGGAGAGTGGAGTATCACGTATTGTTTATAATAACATACGGGCAGGTAATTTACCTCAGTATATGATAAAAATTATAAAAACATATATTGTCAATGAGAATTTGTGGTTTCTAATACCATTCTTACAATGTCACAGGCAGAGAGGTGAAGGGAGTTTTGACCATGCCTTAATGTCTGTGGTTAATTTGAATGCAAGTGACACGTGCTTTTGATGAACTGGAGGGTGACATAGTTGTAGTGTTGCTTTTGCGGTTACTGATATGCTAGAGTGGGATAAGACCATTGCAGGCTGGCCATTCAAGTGTATCCTTCACTATTTTATTGACTTTAAGATGTAAGATTAACTACTGTTGATTTCGAGGTTCTTCTCCTTTAAACTTATTGTATATGAGATCTATAGCAATGTGATGTTTATTCCCTGGAGACCATGAGAAGGTATTTTAACAGAGCTTTTATGATATTTGAATTGTGTATAACCATGTTTCCCTCCACTTTTCTGAAAAAGTCTGAAACTACAACCTAGCTATTTTAATAATTGACATAATTTATGTGGCAGTCATCATTGGAGGTCTTTACTCAAAGCTCAGCATGTGAGACTTCTCAAAGGGCGCCCAGTCCAAATGAGTTATTTGGGTTTGTAAACCCACTATATGCTTCCTCTCCTTTAATAGTACTCTTGAGTCTTTCCTTGAGCAATCTCTTATTATAATATTTCCTTCAATGCAGGTCTCACAAAAGCAACAATACAAGACAGTGTCTCAATCCTGCTTTTAGTCTTGCAATAGCGGTTCCAAATGTTGATATGGTTGACAACGCAAGCAAGATATATGAGTAGCTTGGGTTGATGGTGTTGTTGATGTGATAGACATCGAATTAGAACTTGATGCTGCTATTATGTCAAAAAGTTTGGCAAATGCTAAGGAAGGGTCTCAAGTAAAATCCTATAAAGAAGCTGAATCAGGCACAAGTGGCGAAACAACAAACAACACAAATTAAAGCAGCAGGTTTCATTTGGATTACATGCTGCGGGGGCCATACAGTTTGAGTATCATGTTTGTAGTGAAGTTGGATTTCCATTTATGTTAGATTTCTATTTAATCATCATGTTTGTAGTGAAGTTTGTCTTCATGATGTCTCTTTTTGTTACCGCAGGTACCATGTCTGTGTTGATGGCTGAAATTAGCTCTTATTCTTAGTTGACAGCTCTCATTGTGGTGTATACTGCTTAACTTGGACCTGGAATTGCTCAAAAAATAAACTTTCTATGTCCATATGTGTCTCACAATCAAATGGTTTCAATCATCCTTTCTAAACTTCACTTATGCTACAACTATGTTCAAAGCAATCTCTTTAATCACATGAAACTGATATTTGTTCATTCCTTTCAATTTCAGCTCCGAAGCAACTCCAGTGCGATATAGTGGGATACAGGATCGACAAGAGCAGGTATTTCATATTTTATGCTTCCCCTTTTGGTTTGGTCGAATTTGCTTTTGGGGTTTTCTGCTTTTCGTTAATGTTGACCATGGGAATGTGAACGAGATCCATCTGTAATTGCGGATTCAGTTTCTGAAATCTCAATGGTCATTGATGCTTTTGTTTCAAGCTTGCATTCTTTTCTGCTTTGTAATCCAGGTTAAACAATTGAGTTTCGTCTCAACTGTCCCAAGCTTTTAGCTCCAAAAATTCTGGGTGATTCTTTTCAAATAATTTCTTATATCTTTGGGGGTATGGGTCCAAATTTTAAACTGAACTAAAGTTGTCAAGGAGGTTAGCGGGAAGGTCAAGATTGTGGATTGAAGGACACACCAAAGGAACAAGATGGAGAGAAACATCAGGAGTTGATGATATTATGCAAGCCAAGGAAGTTAGCATGAAGGTCAAGATTGCGGATGGAAGGACACACCAAAGAAAGAATAGATGAAGAAATCCTAGGTGCAACTCAAAGATGAGGAACCGAAAGTTTATGTTGCGCAAATTTGGGGACAAAAAACAGGGACATGTTAAAATAAGAGATGTAAGTGCAGAACAAGATGTAAAGTTTCGGTAGGAAACTCTTACATGTAGCCATGAATTTGTATCTCAACTCTGTCAATGAGTTGGATTTACGGGGGAAACTCTTAAAAGTATGCTTATTATTCGGCTATTGCGGCGTATAATTCGGCTATTCGTTGAATAATATGACGATTGTTTTTTAGCGTTGTTCATCTTTTCGCTGGGATGAGTTAGCTTGGTTACTAAATTTTTAATAGCCACCTTGGCTACATCAATATCCACCATCTATTTTTATCTTTTTCCTATTTTTTTAATCTCACGATTATGATTGCTCAAGGATAATTTTGGAAACAAAAAATAAACCACACTGGATTATTCTATATATACACAAACCCTAATTCTACCCTCCTCCTTCCAACCAAACCCACGCGCCGGCAGGCGGCAGCCTCCCCCCTTCCCCACCGTCCCTCTCTTCCTCCTCCACCCCTCCCTCCTTCCACCCCCTCCTCTCCCCTGCCCATCCCATCCCACCCCACCCCCTCCCCCGCCGACCCACACAGCCGGCGCAAGATGCAACAAAAATCATACAGCCCATCGAGCGCCGATCGATTTGGTCACGGTTCTCGATGTGAGCGGGAGCATGACCGGCGGCAAGATGCTGATGCCGAAGCGCGCGATGCGTTTAGTCATCTCCTCACTCAGCTCAGCCGATCGGCTCTCGATCGTGGCCTTCTCATCGGTGACGAAGCGGCTGTTGCCTCTGAGAAGGATGACGACTCACGTAATGGTATTTATTTTTGTTGCATTGGTATTATTTTTGTTGCATTGGTATTTATTATCATGTAATGGTAGTAATTTGCATGTACTGGTATTGATTAAATCTGCAATGGTATTGATTTTTAGTGAAATGGTATAAATTTATATTGGTAGATTGTTTATATTGGTAGTTTTCGTGTAATGGTATAGATTTATTTCTGCAATGGTAGTTTTCGTGTATTGGTATAGATTTATTTCTGCAATGGTATTGATGTTTTTCAAAATGGTAGTATTTGTCTGATGGATTGGTACTGATTTTTTTTTTTTTTTTTTTTTTTTTGGAGAAAGTTTGAGAAAAATATGGAAAGAAAATCTGGCTGGAGATCACGAAAGTGAGAGAAAGAGAGAATTTAATTAATAGATTTTTGTAACTACCTAAAATGTAATTTATTAAAAAATCAATTAATATAATTTATTTTTTCATACCCAATTTACCCTTAGTAACCACGGTGATTACTACTTTGTAGTAATCACCGTAACCTGTCCCCACATTGTTGCCAGTAGTAGGATCCTGAGTTTGTCATTATTGAAATGACCACCATACTATCATGTTGCTGCTATTTTAGTTCCTGCGGCGTAGCCGCGGGTATTGATTCTAGTAATAATAATAATAATGCAATAGTTCAACAAAATATCAGAGAGGAGCATAATAGTACCCTGCAGCAGGCATTACCATCCCGTTGACTTGCGGCGGGGGCATCCCATACGGCATAGGACCTGCTGCTCCATGAACCCGGGCCAAACTCGCTTGACCTTGCATCCCACTCCTCGCATACTGCTGCCAAACCACCTGCTCCTGTACAAGCAAGTGCTGCTTCTTCTCCATATCGGCCATTTGCACGTACGAAGGAGGTGGAACGATCAACGAAGCTGCGAATGGGTCCTGATTAACCGCCTCAACTGTTCCGTCGGGAGCTGGGAGGGCCAGAACCGGGGTCGTGGTCTTCCCAGGACCGGCCAAAGCCACGCTGCTAGCACTACCTCCGCTTAATTGAGCAGTCCCGACGTGTTGCCTGACCACTCCCTGATCATACATCCCGTTCAGCAGCAACGGGTCGAGCCCACCCCCCATTGCTGCTTTCTGGTTTGATAAATTACTAGCAGTCTCGACCAAGGCCAGCTCCCAATCTGCTTTCCCCGGCTCAGCAGCTGGGGTCTGCCAAGCCGATGTCACTTCAGGCTGCCCGTTGTTCGACGGGAATGCCTCCCAAGACCCATTTCCACCATTGCCCGCCGGCCCATTAAACAATGCCAACGCGAATCGATTACCTTGGTCGTCTGCAGTCATACCATCTTCCCTCAAGTTCACCAAATCTTCAGTATACTGTGGCTTAGGAGGCTCTGGCTCAGGCTCGGGAGCTGGAGGTGGAGGTGGGGTGGAAGTCTCTGGTGCGGGAAATGCCTTGATTTCATTCATATCGGGTGCAGGCGCTTCCTCGATAGCAAGAGGTGCCTCTTCTTTCCTCTCTGGACTCTTGGGCCTCTTTGCTCTATCCCTAACGAATTCCTCCAATGTCTCTAATAGCTTCCCAGTAATCCTCTGCACCTCCGGATACTCTGATGACCTAGCTACTCCAGTGTCTTTACACCAGTTGTAGAATCCAATGAGCTCATCAATCTGCTTAGCAGCACTAGCATAAGCATCAAGTGCCTTGACACAATCTGGGTACTCCATATCAAAGAACTTATCGAGCAACACGGCTAGAACCTCGCATATATCAGCATACAATTGGAAGCTCTCTTTCACTACTGGGTATGCAGCGATCAGTATCAATCTACTGGTTTTCGCTAGCCCTGTTGGCCGGCAAGACAAGAATCGATCCAATAGCCTCTGCAAATGAGACATCTTACCGAAAAGTCTCTCCGGCGACATGTCTCGTATCGGGGTGGTGGCGGCGGCTCCTGGCTTGTCGCGCCCATCTCTTCCCCCCGCTGCCTCGGTCACATCTCCGAAAGATCTGGATCTTCGAGTCATTCCTGGAGCCCCACCACCATCGCTGTACTCGTAAGCCCTAGGAGGCGGCGATCTGAAATCGCCTCTTCCTCCATACCTATCGATTTCGCCGTAAGAACTCACCCCGCCGCCGCCAGAGGCAGAGCCCTTTCTGTCGAACAAGACCATCTCGAGCCGCTGATCGAGATACATAGCATAAGTCCTGACGAAAGCGGAATGATCCCAGGAGCTGGAATGCGCCTCATCCCTAAAATCGGACATGTTGAGAAGCCTCGTCCCTCTCCTGGTGGCGTACAAGATCTCCTCCTGGAAGAGCGGATCTCCGTCGTTGAGGAGGCGGTGGACGACGATGAGCGATTTCAGCGCCACGATCCAATCCCGCGTCTTGCTCAGCCGCTTCGATACGGCGGCGACGCAGGCGCTGACGTAGCCGCGGGAGTAGGAGGTCAGGTTGAGGATTTCGCGTATGTACTTCTCGTTGGGCGGGTCGTCGTCGTGGCTGGTGGCCTTCACCATCGCCACCTCCAGCTCCGGCGCCATGTTGCTGGCCACCTTCGCTATCCCGATGCTCGTCTGGTCCTTCACCGTCCCGATCGCCTTCCGGATCGTGCTCGGCGCCATCCTCGAAGCTCCGATCTAGGTTCAAACCACTCCCTAATTATTCAACCCAGTCCGCTGGAGAGACTGTCAGTCAGTTTGTTTAATTGTTCTGTTGGTCACGGTTGGTAAAGTAATTAATGAGCAAGAACAGCATCCTTTCGGAGACTCACCGTTGCTGTAATGGCAGATCGGGGAGATTCAGTTTTGAAAGCCGTCCGCGGCGAGAGTAGCAGACCGCGGAGGATGAGAGAGGAGGAAATCGGCGGCGGAGAAAAGCGGGATTTTAATTGGGAAGCGCGGCTGGGGAGGTATACGTGAAGGAATAACGGCCGTTGATGCGGCCGGATCAGAAGGTTAGGCGTGATTGTCGGAGGGAAGGCCTATGATTGGTCGGGAAAGGAAGCACTGTCGTCGGTGGTGGCTTGAAGCTGGATGAACTAAAAGGGAAAGGGGAGAGGAAAGGAAGGATGAAGGGCGGGGTGGAGCTTTGATTGTCTGTGGGCGGGAGTATTTTTGGGTAGCATACGACGCGTAACGTGTACGGTGATAACGACCTCTCTTCTTCCTTTTGATTTGAACTCTTATGATAGGTGATTAGATGGTTTGGCGGTGGTAAGGTGACCAAATTTGTAAGAAGCCAGTTGTTTTGTGGCTGTAGCAATTGATTCTTTTTCTTTGTTGCATTCACTCGCGCTTAGTATTCCTTAATTGTTTTGCTTAAAATAAAAACCTTACCTAGTTAATGACAACAACAACAAAAAAACTTAACTATTTAGACCACTTCCAAACGATGCTCTCATTTGAATTAAACAAGCAATTGAGGTTGTTTAGATTATGAATTTATGATCGATAGAAAAAAAAATACTCGAATGAATATTCAAATATCATTGCTCTCAACCGGATCATTGGGCTAGTTTAGCCTTGTTGTAATTTTTGCAGAAGCAGCTTCTGACTGTAGCTTTTAGAAAAATACTTTAAAATAAATAGTTGAGTGTTTTGTTGAAAAACTAGTAGAAGTGCTTTTAATATGAGAGGTTATGTAAAATGACTATAAACTATAAAGAACTTATAATATAAACTATGAATAAAAATTCTAAACAATAAAAAGTAGTCAAAATTGATTTTGTAAGATTGCTTTTATATTAAATAATATGATTTTTATTTTATTTTTAAAATTATATAAATAAAATAAAATTATATTTTCTGTAATAAAATTAAAATATGATAAGGATAATCTTGTATTTCAAAACGGTTTTTCGCAGAAGTTCCAAATCGGAGCTTCTGCTTTTATATTACACAAAAGCGCTTTTCAACTTTTCAAAATCAGAGCTTTTAAAGATATTTGACCATGCTTCAACTTTTAAATCCGAAAAACACTTTTAAAACCGGGCCATTGGAAACAGACCATTGTTATGCACATCAATTTATAAGAAAAATGAAAACTTCTTACGTTTATATACCCGAATAATCAACCATCGAACCATTAAAAAAAATATTAGCACGTACTTGCAACTCACCAATTTAATAACCAACAAGAAGTCAAATATCGTCCAAACTACCTAATGAGTTAATGTGCCCAGGGCATATGCTCAATTTCTCAACACCTATGGAAATCATAAGGGACAAGGTAGGACTCTAAGTATTAACTCTCATCAATTCTTTCTATAACCGTTTATTAATACATGGCATTGGATAAATTATAAGGTGATTAATAATTCTCCCAACTTTCTTTGCTTTAAGTTGTCTGTTATCCTGGGAAAGTATGGACGAGGAGCAAGTGTGGTCCGTCTCAGCTTTTCGAATCACCCATGCACCATTTCTATTCATATTTGCAGCCCGCAGTTGCCACATACAACCCTCTGCATCATTCTTGCATATGGCATGTAGTTGTTTACTGTCAGAATATTTTACCTTCCACTCGAAATTGCGACTCAAGGCTCTTCGGTAAAAGCATCCTGCACAGCGTCCTTCGATGTGAATGCCATATACCCACCTCCAAATTGGTCGTCGGATTATACACTGGCATAGGGACAAAGTCGAGGGCATCATTCTGACTTTGTAAAAATTGAGTTGGAACCTGTGTGTAGTATGGCGTCGGTGCCTCACGAAATGTCGCCTCGTCGTCGGTATCGTGAGTATCTTCCTCCTCACTCACTGATCTCAAATATTCCTCAGTATCATTGTCGCTAGAGTCGAGTGGATAGCTCGGGCCAGAAGGATGAACATGACCACCATCACCAACATCGTCTTCTCGCTCATGTGAAGTACGCCCTGATCGAATGATATTCTCGATTTCAGCCCACTCTGGCCCCCAAGCAGGCCATTTAACACCATCGGCCTCAACAAATGGGGCAGGTTGATCCCGTTGAGAGTATTCTCTCGATGGCACCCATCCTGCACTACTACCTCCACCGTAGTTGCTTGAACTACCACCCTCTCTGTAACCTCCTGTATAACCACCTCCTTCATAGTTGCTCGAACTACCACCCCATACGTACCCTCCTGAAAAACCATCATCATAAGAATACTGGTGAAATGAGTTTCACCGACCGCCTCGCTCTCAACATACACCTTTGCAAGCGCATCCCGTTATCGCTTAGGAACTGTAACATCATCGTAACCGCGTCATCATCGTTTATGACAACTTCTTGGTACACAACCCCGCCAACACTCATGTCTGGATACCGGTTACTAATTTTACCAAGTCTCGTCTGTCCGCTCGTACAAACTATGTCTGCACAAATATCACAGAGTTCTTGAAAATTGAATCGCGACTCAATTTTCAGCATAGTGGATTCACCATCCTCATAATCAATCCCTATGTCAGAGTTTGTCACCCTTCCATTCCACCGAATAATAAGCTGAAACTTCTTGAATTTACCCATATCTACAATTTACAATAAGTAACTATTAGCTTAATTCCAGTAAAATTAACCAAAACCATATTGTACGACTAATATTACTCCATCTCATAACTAACATAACATAAATTCAACTAACTAACAACAACATAAATTTCCTAACTAACAGAACATATTTGCTACGATAAGTAATTCATAACATAATAATATAACTACTAAAAACATCATTAGGCTACAATACAAAAATTAAATCATACTGAAAATTCTTGTTCTGTGTATGTTGCTCGGTTTTGGTTGCTGAAATTTGAAGAAGGAAAGGGGTTACGTTTTTACAACTGCTGGTGGGAGTGGTATCTATAAGAAAATCGACCAGCGTTCACCGCGTTAGTCTCCAACGGTGAACAGTATCACCGTGTTGCCCTAAGGCGGTGAATATTAGGTGGTTGTGACCTAATTTTCACCTACTAGGGATGAGAAACGTGGGAAACAATCACCATCGTAACCTAGGGCGTTGAAGTTATTCCCCGCTTTGCCCTAAAAAGGTGACTTATTCACCATTGTCAACAAAGATGATGAAGTCTTCACCGTTTTGTTTAAACACGGTGACTTATTCACTATTTTGCTTAACCACAGTGAATACATTATCGTTTTAAATAAAAACGGTGAAATGTTCACCGTGTTTGTCTGATGCGGTGATTATGTTCACTGCGTTAGACAAAAATGGTGAATGTGAAACATGTGTATTTTGGGAATTTTTTTTAAGTTCTAGCACTTTGTGATTTTTTCCGTAATTCTACCCCTTTTTAAGCAATGGAGATAGACATATGTATACTACTTGATGATACATACAGTAGTTGAAGACGTTAGACCGACGATGAAATTTTGAAGGGGGAGGGTGTTAAATTGAGTGGGTGGTAGAGACATTGATGAAAAAAGTGGAGGGAACTATGCATGGGTGTTCCCGGGAAAAATTGAGAGCGGTTTAGATAGTAAAATTTCAAGGGTATTATGGGATATAGATTAATAACTAGAGATATAATTGGAACAAAAAAGAGAATCAAACAATCCTCACTAAACAATCTCAACAATCTCAAGTTTTACATGAGATAGTAATATCACTCATTTTGAATGATTCTTTCCATCACATCAACAAAACAATGGATGCATTGTTATAGGAAAAACTCCCCAGAAAAACGATACATTGTCGACAATACACCAATTGTAACAATCTCACCAAAACTATCACCAAAACCAAATGACCTCTTAGATCCAAATCCATGGACCCCACGGATTTGCAAATCCCACATTTCATTTAGGATTTGATAATAAAAGGTAAAGTTGTGAGACAAATTCATCATAAATTCATGATAAAAATGAACTAAACAAACAATAGACTTTTCCAAATCCATCATAAATCCAAAAGTTTTTAAAACTTAAAACCCTCATTTTCAAATCCAACAAGCAAACGAGCCTATTAATTCTTTAATTTGTTTCGAAATATTCCAAATAAAGTATGTAGTTTATCATTATCAAAATAAAATCTTATCCATAGTAATTATCGACATTCATATTTAACTAAAAACCTGATCCATGACGAGTGACGACCACTCTACTTAATATTAGTGGTTAATGTTGGTAGTCTCATGAAAACATAATGTTTTGCCAATCAGTGAAAAATATGACAAGAAGCGATCGCGTGGCCTAATGGATAAGGCGCTCGCCTCCGGAGCGGGAGATTGTGGGTTCGAGTCCCACCGTGATCGTAAAATCGGTTTTAATCACTTTTTATACTTCACATTTACCCTGTCTATTCATTTCACTGGCTTTTGCCACTCTCCGTGGGCCTTGTTTGGATGCCTCGAGCCCAACCACCTTTAACGAGAAAAAAACTCATTCTTTTCCACCTCTCTATCCGGTGTCCACTCGCCATTTCTAAAGCATAATTAAGACTTAAGAGAGAAATAAAAAATAAAAATAAAAACACTCGCCATTATAAAACAAGTTTTGTTACTTTTCTGCATTGTTTTGGCCGTAGGAGTTGAACTTGGCTATACCTAAGAACTAGCGTGGCTGTGAGGTATGAAATTTAATAATGTAATGAGATGTATATCTTATTGTTGTATAATTTTTTTTTAAACACGTGATAAAAATAATAAATTTTAGTAGAAAAGAGACATGAATGATGTAACGAATCAAAAATCAGCTTTATGAACTAAAATCAAGTACCTATTACCTTGTGAAACAATATTGTTTCTTGTAATATGATGAGGTGGAGTAAGTTTTATAGAAACTGAATTCCAGAAAATCGAATTAAAAATCGCCTATCCCGTCGCTTTTCGGGAAATGAGCATCTCACAATCGTTGATAGCTTTTACTCGGCCCGTTGGCCGATTAATTTGCTTTATAAAACTTTCATCTTGTCGTCATTTTGCATTTTGGTTTTTCCAGACCATGATAAAATATAAAGAAATCAAGAACGAATAACACGATTTGGGATAGGAACCACCGTTCCTGTATCCCTAGAAAATGGTGGTAAACACGGACTCACCTACCAAACTGGTTTGGATTGAGATTTTTATCGGGTATCAGGGAACCATGTGATTATAAATTAGACTTGATGAAAACGGGCCAAAACTTGAAATT